TGTGCTCCACACAGAGATCTGATCTGATCATCATCAGTCTGTCTGGAGTCACATGAAGAAACAGAACAAACTGAGACAGACTCAATCCAGAAGAACTGATGCTTCTAGAAACCTCCTGCAAAGCTACAGAGCTGTTAACAGTTTCAGGCACTTGTGTAAAAATGCTGTAAAATGAGGATGCTGTCATAAATAGATCAATTAACTTCTATTAACTAAATGAAATCAACATTTGGTGCGAGCATCTTTGTGTTTAAAGCAGCTTTTGTCCTCGGTGCACTTGAGCAGAGTTTCTCAGGAGCTTTGCAGGAGGTTTCTAGAAGCATCAGTTCTTCTGGATTGAGTCTGTCTCAGTTTGTTCTGTTTCTTCATGTGACTCCAGACAGACTGATGATGATCAGATCACATCTCTGTGTGCAGCACAAACATCTCACTGCATTATTACAATTAATGGCCAACTGGAAATGCAAACTGATATTTCCTACACAGCAAAGTCACAGTACTAGTGTTCTAATGATTGTGGCCAGCACTGTGTGTAAATGTACGTGTGGTTTTCTCTAGTTTGTTCTTGTTTCGTGTCGCGTGGATCGGCGTCTGATGAAGGCCAGACCTGGATTTCAAGCAGTTTAACCAAATGAGGTTTCAGCTCGAGGCAGATCGGATCATGTTTTGATTCTTTTATATTTGCTCTTGTTCGTTCCAGATGGAAATGAATTCAGAAGCGCTCGTGACTCATTCTAACTAGGGCCGCACCATAACAGACTCAAAAATATAATCACAATTATTGTTATTTTACGGTCAACTTTTTTTTATTTCATCAGAATTATATTATTATTTATAGTATGACATCAGAATGATTATAATAATGTAATTGTTATATTATTATAGAGTACTCTCACATAACCACAAATCAAGAGAACATTGATTCAGTCGCAGCAAACAACAGACCGACTCAATAGAGATCACTAAATTACAGCTTACACGATTGCGTGATAATGAACGCTTGTGACGCTCATTACTAGCGGTCGTCTGATGCTGGTTTTCTGACAGCTGATATCTTAGACAGCAGGGTGGCTGATATAAAGCCAGTATATATCATTTTTATTTATTTTAATTAATATTTAAGAAATTTGAAATAATTTGACAATGATAAATATGGAAAATAAATAGTGCTGTCAAATGATTAATCGCAACCAAAATAAAAGTTTTTGTTTACATAATATATGTGTGTGTACTGTGTATTTTTATGTATATATAAAAACACACACATACAGTATATATTTGGAAAATATTTACATGTATATATTTATATTCATATATATATATTTAATATATAAACAACATATTTTTCTTAAACATATATACACAGCACACACATATATTATGTAAACAAAAACTTTTATTTTGGATGTGATTAATCGTTTGAATCACTAAAAATAAACAGACTTATACTTTAGATGACAACTGCTTGATTCTGTAATCCTATAACAGTATTTTTCACAAATAAAGAAATGTTTAAAAATATATAAATAAGGAAGTAAACACTGTAAGCAACAGAGCACTCAGTATCTGGGGAGTTTGTGTGCATCGGGAATCATGTTGTTTTCAACTGAAGCCAAGGTTGAACTCATTTTACGTACAGCACACAGTGAAAATGACAGGATTATGAGCGAATAGTTTGAAATCATGAGTTTAAAGTGTGTGAAGCTGAACTCTCCTCTCAGCATTCAGTTACTCAGTTGGGTTCGTCACGCAGAAAACACACACTTCACAAGATCTCAGCTGGATTGCACCAAGTCTGCAGGGTTTGTGAAATTAAATCTTCTTTAGTCATTCAAAGATCTGTTTAAATGATATAAATGCGTATTTGCTGAATGCTGACTGCAAACGAGAGAGTATTATAATTAGGGATGTAACGATTCACTCAACTCACGATTCGAGTCACCATTTTTTTTTTTTTACAAAATGAGATTTAAGACAAATTATAAATTAAATGTGTCCTTTTATTATTGCTTGGACAAAATGCTGCACGTTTCTTTGTGAAATTGAAATATAACACTATAATAATATACTAATATAGCACTTGCATATTTCTGCTCTTTTCGTCTGCTAAATGACTAAATTTAAATATAATGTAAATGTAAATAACTAAACTAAATTGAAATTTTAAAACAAGCCCCAAATCAAATAAATA